TTGCCCGCCGAAACCATAAAATTCTATCGTTGTCTGCAGAATGTTGGCACCGACTTTTCACTAATGGTCTCTTTATTTCCTAATCGTACGCGGCGTGATTTGAAATTAAAATTCAAAAAGGAAGAGCGTAAAAATTGTCATCTTATCAATAAGGCTTTATTGTATCCCAAACAATTTGATCTAGAATCGTTGAAACAACAAATCGATGAGGAGGAAAAGATGCGAGAAGAGCAGGCTAAGAAAGCTAAGGCTACTAAAGAGAAAAAGGAATCGAAAAAGGTTAGTTGTTTTCAAACATGCACACATACATATATGGGGAAATAGTTTGATTGGGATTGATGTGGGAAGCTAGATATGTTGAAAGATAGAAATGTTGAAAGATAGAAAGATATGTTGAAAGATAGAAAGATATGTTTAATGATAGAAAGATACGTTGAAAGATAGAAAGATATGTTGAATGATAGAAAGATATGTTGAAAGATAGAAAGATATGTTGAAAGATAGAAAGATATGTTGAAAGATAGAAAGATATGTTAAAAGATAGAAAGATATGTTAAAAGATATAAAGATATGTTGAAATATATGTTGAAAGATAGATAGATAGATAGATAGATAGATAGATAGATAGACAGATAGATAGATAGATAGATAGATAGATAGATAGATAGATAGATAGATAGATAGATAGATAGATAGATAGATAGATAGATAGATAGATAGATAGATAGATAGATAGATAGATAGATAGATAGATAGATAGATAGATAGATAGATAGATAGATAGATAGATAGATAGATAGATAGATAGATAGATAGATAGATAGATAGATAGATAGATAGATAGATAGATAGATAGATAGATAGATAGATAGATAGATAGGATAGATAGAAGATAGATAGATAGAAAGATAGAAAGAAAGAAAGATAGATAGATAGATAGATAGATAGATAGATAGATAGATAGATAGATAGATAGATAGATAGATAGATAGATAGATAGATAGATAGATAAATAGATAGATAGATAGATAGATAGATAGATAGATAGATAGATAGATAGATAGATAGATAGATAGATAGATAGATAGATAGATAGATAGATAGATAGATAGATAGATAGATAGATAGATAGATAGATAGATAGATAGATAGATAGATAGATAGATAGATAGGTAGATAGATAGATAGATAGATAGATATATAGATAGATAGATAGATAGATAGATAGATAGATAGATAGATAGATAGATAGATAGAATCTATCAAAAACATATCCGTACATTTTAAACACCTTTTCGATAACTTATAATTTAACATTTTTAATCCTTTTTTTACATTTTGTTTTAGAGGAAAATTTTTACTCAAAGCATAGCAAATCGTGTATTATTAAACGAAGATATTTATCAAAATGAAAATGAACAAGAACAAAAACCAAAAAGAGTACGAAAAACTAAGGATATAGTAGATAAATCAGGACAAAATGATCATAATGATACCACCAATGGGCAAGAACCCATAGAACTAAATAGCCAGGAAATTAATCCAAATGAAACTGAACACAAACCCAAGCAAAAAAGAACATATACAAAATCTAAAAAGACTTCCCCGAAGAATGAAGAAAATGAAGATGTAGTTGTTGAAAATAACAACAACAACAATAATGGCGACATAGAAACCAATGATAGCTTAAAGGTGGATAAAGTAAAACGACGGCGAAGGCGAACCCCCAATAAAACACAAAAAGAAGAAATTATTATTATAAAAGAAGAAATAATTAAAATCGAAAATAAACAAGAATCTAACTCAGCACCAGCGGCTGCTCCAATGGAGTATCAAGACACCAAACAGTTGCAAACGGAAATTGATGAACTATTAGACTCAGATGCAGTAGACATACCATATGGTGGTGTTGGTGCCAATACATCCTATGAAACTACAACTGCCAATAATTATACTGTCACTTCACAGGTGGACCAATATAATGAACAAAGTAACACACCACCCGTACCGTACACTACAAATTATGAGGAGGATTATTGTGAAACGGAATCGGACATTAATAAATATGAACATAGGACTTTTGTTAACTTAGATGATGGCTCTGTTAATGTTTATAGTAAAATCAAAGATGATGCTACATTTATAACGCCACCACCAACCACACCACTACCTTCACCTCCCCCCACACGATCTCAAACGCCAACCTCACTTTCTCCAACATCACCGCCGCAAATACTACCCGATCATATTAACTATGAAAATGATTCCTTAGAATCAACAGAAACAACTACAACTCCAATGATAATCCCTGATCCAGAGATTATTAGCAATGATACTTGTTCGTCTGTGATATCCGAACGTGAATTAAATGAAGAAGATATACAATCAATTCTAACGGAATTAGCTGAAGGCTCATTAGTTTTAGTTTCCTCTTTAGATCCTGATGATCCCGATAAAGTTTTAAATGAAATCTATATGGTAGATAAAAATACGGGTGAATTATGTGAAGAACCTTTAAATATACCCGATAATATTGTGCAGTGTATTTTAACAGTGGTCAGCTAAAAGTTTTCTTTTTTTTATGTACATATAAATGTTTTGGTATTTATTTTTAAGAGCATTTCTTTTTTTTAATTAATCCTTTAGATATTCATACATACATATATACTCGTATTACTATTAGCTTTTTTCTTTGTTTTAAATTGTTGCCTTTATCTTGTTTTTGGAAAAGGTGGTTTCTTTTTTGTTTATACTTGAATAAAAAGTTGGTTTATATATTTTTTGATAACAAGTGTGAAAGTAAGATTTTTTAATTTTGACTAAAACTAATTCGAAAATAAGTTATTTCTATAACAATTTTCAAGAAATTTATATTTTTATTTTAATTTTTTTTTACTAAATCTATTTAATTTTCATAAATATTTTGTTTTTTATAAAGAATTGAAAACCCCTTTTTGACATATTAATACTTACTTTAGATCAAAAGTATTGCTATCCATATAAAAATGATATATTATTTTTATCATTTTGTTTTTTATGAACTTTGGCCATACAAAAAGAAGATCTTTATTGATATTGATCAAACATTTTGTTAATTGTTAAATTATATTTATTGCTTTGTTATAAATAATTTCATTTCATTATTTACTTATAAGAATAAAAAAATAAAATTAGAGCTTTGCTATTGTAATAATAAATAAATATTGAAGTTTTAATCAATTCTATAAAAAGGAAAAAATTCGAAAATTTTTTAAAAATTTCAATAAAAATGGAAAAAAATCTGTAAAAAAAATTTCCAGAATTCTGGAAAAAGGGAAATTAAAAAAAATATATAGAAAGATTTTTCCTAAAAATGGAAACATTTTTATATAAAGGGAAATTTTCGATAAATTTCTATTAAAAAAGGAAAATTTTTTGTAAAATGAGAAAATTTCGAAAAAATTTTTATATATACTCGTATTACTATTAGCTTTTTTCTTTGTTTTAAATTGTTGCCTTTATCTTGTTTTTGGAAAAGGTGGTTTCTTTTTTGTTAATACTTGAATAAAAAGTTGGTTTATATATTTTTTGATAACAAGTGTGAAAGTAAGATTTTTTAATTTTGACTAAAACTAATTCGAAAATAAGTTATTTCTATAACAATTTTCAAGAAATTTATATTTTTATTTTAATTTTTTTTTACTAAATCTATTTAATTTTCATAAATATTTTGTTTTTTATAAAGAATTGAAAACCCCTTTTTGACATATTAATACTTACTTTAGATCAAAAGTATTGCTATCCATATAAAAATGATATATTATTTTTATCATTTTGTTTTTTATGAACTTTGGCCATACAAAAAGAAGATCTTTATTGATATTGATCAAACATTTTGTTAATTGTTAAATTATATTTATTGCTTTGTTATAAATAATTTCATTTCATTATTTACTTATAAGAATAAAAAAATAAAATTAGAGCTTTGCTATTGTAATAATAAATAAATATTGAAGTTTTAATCAATTCTATAAAAAGGAAAAAATTCGAAAATTTTTTAAAAATTTCAATAAAAATGGAAAAAAATCTGTAAAAAAAATTTCCAGAATTCTGGAAAAAGGGAAATTAAAAAAAATATATAGAAAGATTTTTCCTAAAAATGGAAACATTTTTATATAAAGGGAAATTTTCGATAAATTTCTATTAAAAAAGGAAAATTTTTTGTAAAATGAGAAAATTTCGAAAAAATTTTTATAAAAAGATAAATTATTTGATAATTTTTTATAAAAAGGAAATTTTTTGTAAAAAGGGAAATTGTCGAAAAATGTCTATACAAAGGGAAATTCTGGATAATTTTTTGTAAAAAGAGATATATTTCGAAAACTTTCTATAAAATTTCGAAAATTTATATAAAAGGCATAATTTTTGAAATTTTTCTATAAAAAGATAAATTTTTCAAAAATTTTCTGTAAAAATTAATTTTAAAAAATTGTCTGTAAAAATCAAAATTTCCAAAAATTTTAAAAGCATAATTTTTGAAAAATTTCTTAAAATTGGTAAATTTTCTCAAAAAACAAGGAAATTTCTCAAAAAAGTAACTTTTCCAAAATTTGTTTAAAAATGGGAACTTTTTAGAAATAAAATTTTGCAAAAATGTTAATTTTCAAAATATTCATATAAAGGAGATTTTTTTTTTTTTGTAAAAATTGAAAATTTCTAAAAATTTGTGTTAAAAGTGAAATTTTTGGAAAATTTTTTATAAAGAGAATTTTATGCAAATGTTCTATAAAAGAAAAACATTTTCTAAAAATTTTCTATAAAAAGAGACATTTTTCGAAAATTTTCTATAAAAGTTAAACATTTTAATAAATTTTCTATAAAGAGATACATTTTTGGAAAATTTTCTGCATGAATTATACAGAAAATATGCGTTGCCAACTATGCAATTTTTCTATATATAAATTATATAGATTTAGAAGAATTGCAAAAAATATTAAAAAGGATATCTGTCCCCTTTCGATTTCAGTTTTTTTTTAAATATCGGCTTTCTTTATTTCTGTACATACTAAAAATAATAAAAATTGCTTTTGGTAGCGGTATATTAGTAAATGAAATACATAGATATTGAAAATTAAAAATTATTACATGAATATATATTTTTATTAAAAAGAAATTATAAAAATGTTTTAAGTAAATTAAAATAATTCACGGTATTGAGAATTTATTATAAATTCGTAGCAAATACCCATTATGAAAGAAATTATTATTGTACTTTGCTGATATTTGAATTTAATTCGTAGCAGTTAAAGTCAAGTTGAATAGTGTGAAAAATTTGCAAACATACTTGACACCATTGTAAAGTTTCTTAATATAAAATTATGTTCATGATTTGTTTTTGATTATCACAAATGCTAGGCTAATTCTAGGCTTTTGGAATTAACTATTACTATTGTGCTTTAAATAACTATGTATTGCATTTATGTATATCATAGAAACTTCGTTAAATTTATTGTATTTCATGACCACGCAATTTACCTTCATAACCAACGGTTACTAACTCGGACGACGTTAACCAAGCACAGTCTCGTATAAAATTCTGACTATAATTATTTTCATAGAATATTTCATTTGAGCAGGATTTGGATACTTTAACGCAATTTGAATCGGCTACAATAGCTAAATTTTCTCTGTAATAAAAACAAGTAAATAATGAAGTGTTTCTTTTAAACTTTTTAAGCTGTTTTACCCATTTGGTGATATTTTTCTTATAGGACGATCAAAGTATTGTGTTTTATTCAATAACTCCTTGGGCTTGCGTGTATCAATTGTTAACACATTACCAGATTCATCACCTAAATACACACAATTATCCTGAGGATCTAAGGCCCAATTAACCGTTTTAAAACGCACATTATGTTCACTGTATAACGCTTTACGGAAATGAATATTGGAGAAATATATTCGTTACTTTTAAATTATTAAATATATTTTGAAATAATTATATATTACCAATTGCCGGTCTAGTTTCACGATCATCCCATAGCAGACAGGATTTGTCTAAAGAACAAGTAGTAAATATAGCATCATTTGTGGGAGATGAAGTCAATCCAGTTATAGAATCCGTATGAGCATAACGGTAACTTTGTTGTGAAAATAAATCAGCTTTGCCCATATCCCAGATCTAAGGAAAAAAATGTTTTTTTTTATTAAGAACTGTTGGACACTATGAAATCTTTTTTCTAATCGAAATTTTCTACAAAATGATCAAAATTTCGAAAATTGTCTATAAAAAGAAAATTTCGAAAATTCTTCACAATTTTTTTGGAAATTAAGCTAAATGCTTACTAGTGCCATCGCCATTATATGCTTATACATATCCTATCAAAATAAACTAGAAATTATAATATTTTTAGTCAAAAACAAATTTCCACATTCAACACGTGTCTTATTTACCAAAAATTCAAACTTACCTTTAAAGCACCATCTTTACTACCCGTCACCGCCTTATAGTCGTTCGTTTTAAAGCCTGCTAAACATGTGATGGGTTTCATATGTTCACATTTTTCACCAATCAAAAAGGGGCAATAGGGATTTTTCGGACTACGTACTTCAGATTGGGTAGACCAAACTTGTAGTTTCCCAGAGTTTAAAGCTAAAAGTAGCTTTATAAAAATGTATATATGAAAACATATTTAAATCTACTTAATATTATTAACAACTTACTATATTAGGTTCTACAAATTCGATACAATTTATAATGGCTGGACTTTCTAACTTATAGCAGGGTGTTGACATATCCAGTGAGTTTTTTTCATTTTTCACTTGACTCTTCTCGAAGGCCCACAAAGTGCCTAACCAATTACGTCCACTTAATTTATTGGTGGCTATAGCTACATTTCCTTTTTCATCATCACATTTTGTGCTGATGCTAATGCATTCCCAGGCATCATGCATACGCACATTGTGATTTAGAGGACGCTTTGCGTAGTCGCGTGAATTTAAATTGGGATAATGAGTATTGTCGGCCAAGTTAGTTTCTTCTGGCGGATTGTAGTCATCAGGTGTTTTATAAATTTCGCCATAAATTAGCGGAAGCATTTTTTCGTTTTATTTTTATTAATATAAAACTGAAGAGAATTCAGGATAATTAAAATGTTTTGTTTTAAACACCTTTTTTTTCTAATTTATAAAAACGAAGAAGAAGAAACCGGCACAGCATTGTATAAAAAGTGTATGATATTTATTTAGAAGAGATGCCACACTGTGGGAAATAAATTATTAGGGGAAGTAAATCATAAAATTAAACCGCATGCCAGAACATTTCTTTGTGATAACAAAACGAGTTTGAAGAAAGAAAAAGGTTGATAGATAGATATATAAATAGATAGATAGATAGATAGATAGACAGATAGATAGATAGATTGATAGATAGATAGATAGATAGATAGATAGATAGATAGATAGATAGATAGATAGATAGATAGATAGATAGATAGATAGATAGATAGATAGATAGATAGATAGATAGATAGATAGATAGATAGATAGATAGATAGATAGATAGATAGATAGATAGATAGATAGATAGATAGATAGATAGATAGATAGATAGATATATAGATAGATAGAGAAATAGATAGGTAGATAGATAGATAGATAGATAGATAGATAGGTAGATAGATAGATAGATAGATAGATAGATAGATAGATAGATAGATAGATAGATAGATAGATAGATAGATAGATAGATAGATAGATAGATATATATATAGATAGATAGATAGATAGATAGATAGATAGATAGATAGATAGATAGATAGATAGATAGATAGATAGATAGATAGATAGATAGATAGATAGATAGATAGATAGATAGATAGATAGATAGATAGATAGATAGATAGATAGATAGATAGATAGATAGATAGATAGATAGATAGATATATAGATAGATAGATAGATAGATAGATAGATAGATAGATAGATAGATATCGTCACCTGAAACGCAAACGGCCCTAACTAACCAAAAATTCAAAATCGATTTTAATGTTGATTCTAATGTATTGCATCAAAACAAATGTCCACACCAAAAATTCGACTCTTCTAACAAAAATTATCGATTTTATTTACCAAAAATAAAAGGCCCTATCTACAAAAACATTTCAATATTAAAGGTAAAAAGTCCAATTTATCGATTTTTATATACGCCATTGTCAACTATCATAACAAATGATAGGTTTCACTATTAAACAATTTGTTTATTTACTACAAATAAATCGCGTTGATTGAAACAAACTTTTCAATATAAATAGTTTTTTGCTTCTCCTGTAGAATTTTCAAAATGTTAGATAAGGCCGTTTGCGTTTTAGGTGACGATATATATATATATATATATATATATATATATATATATATATATATATATATATATATATATATATATATATATATATATATATATATATATATATATATATATATATAGATTGATAGATAGATAGATAGATAGATAGATATAGATAGATAGATAGATAGATAGATAGATAGATATAGATAGATAGATAGATAGATAGATAGATAGATAGATTTTCATTAAGACTACTGTATCTTGACATTTTACGAAAAGGAGTGAGGTTGACTTCCCCACTCTTTCAACCCCCAAATTAAGAAAATATTTTTTGTTGCACATCAATTACTTGTTTTTATTTAATGAATATTTTTAATTAATATTGTGTTTCTGCGTTTTACATTGTTTATTGAAATATTGTTGTATATGTATTTAAATATGTTTGCTTATATACTCCATAAATTCTAGTGAATTTTACAATATATTTTATAGACAAAAAATCCAAGAAATATAACATAAATGTTGTGGTAAATAATATATCAAAAAAAGTCAGAAAATAAAAAAAAATTGCATGAACAAATGTACGAGGTCTTTCTTTCTTTTAATTGTTGTTTTTTTTTAGTTAAGCTTAAATAATGTCACAATAATTTTAATATTACATGTATAATTATTATTTTATACATAATTAATTCTTTACGCAAGAATATTACAAAAGTTTTTAAAAGCCTGACAAAGGAATTTATTTTTTTTAAATAATAATATTTTGTTGATTAATAATGAATAACCATTAAGTTAAAAGCAAAATATTTTTATTTAAAAAAGTACCTCGGGACAAGCTTAGAATTTAAAATGTTTTTTTTTTTTAATTTTTATTTAATTTGTATAGAAATTACAACCTCTACACTTTGCACTAAAATAATGTAATAATTTTCCAGATTACTTGTTGCATTTAGAATAATTTTTAAATAAAATTGAAAAAAAAACTCAAAATTAATTAGATTATGAAATAATGGATATTTAAATGTTTTTTTATATGTTTGATCTTAAGATTTCTTCTTTTTTTGGGTTTAAATATTTTTAATGTAATTGTTATTTATAGCATTAAATTTTAAGTATGGAAAATTCATCATTAGGTCCATGCAAAGTATAGCTTGTAGGTGTTTAAATTGCATATAGTTTGCAGCAACTATAAGATTTAAACAAGATTTTGTTTAATTGTTTGTTTTGCATGTTTGTTACTTTTTTTGAAAAGAAAAAAATTTAATAAAATTTTCCTTTTTTTACTTCTTTGTTGGTTGGAGAGGGAGGATTTTTATTAGTTCCTGTTGTTGTTTGTTGTTATGCTCTATTAGTTAAACCAACTCTAATGTTTTGTTTTTATAATTGAACTAGTTACATAAATAACTATAACTTAAAATATAAATTTTCCATCTTATACTTTTTAGTTTTGTCAAAAAAGTTTAATTATTGATTTTTAAGTTTGTTTCGTTCTTTGTTTTTTTTTTTCTCTTAAGAGTAACATTTAAATTTGTTTTGGTTTTTTTAAGTTTTGTTTTTATATATAAGCATTTTTTGTGTTGTAATATTTCATGAAATTTTTTTATGTTTTTTAATATATTTTTTTTTTGTAATACTTTTAATTATAATTGATAATTGCAAAATGCATATTTTATATATTAGTTATTTATGTATTTAGTTAAATAATATTAAATATTTATTTTTTAAGATTTTTTTAATGCATGTCAGCTGCTTGTTTTGTGGGCTTTTAAAACGATAAAAAGTAAAAAATAATAATTCTCAAAATAATCAATAATTCCAGAGCTTTTAAATCATCCTTTAACCAATATTTTAAATAAGTCAATAATGAAAAAACTAAGTGATTTTTTCCAAAATTTAAGTTAAGAAAAGAAATTTCTCAAAGTCAAGTAGCAAATATAAAAAACAATTTATAAAATTAAAAAAACAAAAAAAAATAAACAAACCCATCTTTCTCTTTACCCTGCTTTGAATTTCATATTTTGTTGGTTCGAGAAATGTTGTCAATTTTTCATTAAAACAGCTGCAATACAGTGTGTAAAAACTTAAAGTGATTTTACACAATTACTTTGAATTCATTTTTTGGTCATAATTTTCAAATATTCCAAAGCATTTTGTGCAGCCATCTTTTTGGCATCAGCTGGTGTAGTGCCAGAACCGTGGCAAACACCCACCGGTAGAGTGGATAGTTGTACCAAACATTGAAATTTATCAGTGAAGGTCTTCTCTTCGATGTCCACGTAAGTTACCTCAAATTGATTTTCGTGTGCAATTTCACCCAATAGTTTGACATAATCAATTTTGGGATCTTTTAGGCAAGTTTTCTGTAAGTAAAAGAACAAAATTATATTTTTATGAATCCTTATGATTTAGAGATTATTTTAAGAGTTTTCAAAAGTTTTCGAACATAATTATATACTTTTATGAATTCTCATGATTTAGAGAGTTTTTAAAATTTTTCGACATAATTTCGAATTTTCGAATATAAGTTTAAATTTTTGAACATAACTAATAAAAGGTCATACATATTCATGAAAACACACACTCTAGACAAGACTATAGACTAGACTATAGACTAGACTATAGACTAGACTATAGACTAGACTATAGACTAGACTATAGACTAGACTATAGACTAGACTATAGACTAGACTATAGACTGGACTATAGACTAGACTATAGACTAGACTAGACTATAAGACTAGACTAGAGTATAGACTAAACTATAGACTAGACTATGGACTAGACTATAGACTAGACTATAGACTAGACTATAGACAAGACTATAAACTAGACTATAGACTAGACTATAGACTAGACTATAGACTAGACTATAGACTAGACTATAGTCTAGACTATAGACTAGACTATAGACTAGACTATAGACTAGACTATAGACTAGACTATAGACTAGACTATAGACTAGACTATAGACTAGACTATAGACTAGACTATAGACTAGACTATAGACTCGACTATAGACTAGACTATAGACTCGACTATAGACTAGACTATAGACTAGACTATAGACTAGACTACAGACTAGACTATAGACTAGATTATAGACTAGACTTTAGACTAGACTATAGACTAAACTATAGACTAGGCTATAGACTAGGCTATAGACTAGACTAGACTATGGACTAGACTATAGACTAGATTATAGACTAGACTTTAGACTAGACTATAGACTGGACTACAGACTAGACTATAGACTAGACTATAGACTAGACTATAGACTAGACTATAGACTAGACTATAGACTAAACTATAGACTAGACTATAGACTAGACTATAGACTAGACTATAGACTAAACTATAGACTAGACTATAGACTAGACTATAGACTAGACTATAGACTAGACTATAGACTAGATTATAGACTAGACTATAGACTAGACTATAGACTAGACTATAAGACTAGGCTATAAGACTAGACTAGACTATAGACTAGAATATAGATTAGATTATAGACTAGACTATAGAATAGACTATAGACTAGATTATAGACTAGACTATAGAATAGACTATAGACTAGACTATAGACTATATAGACTATAAGACTAGGCTAGACTATAGACTAGAATATAGACTAGATTATAGACTAGACTATAGAATAGACTATAGACTAGACTATAGACTAGACTATAGACTAAACTATAGACTAGACTATAGACTAGACTATAGACTAGACTATAGACTAGACTATAGACTAGACTATAGACTAGACTATAGACTAGACTATAGACTAGACTATAGACTAGACTATAGACTAGACTATAGACTAGACTATAGACTAGACTATAGACTAGACTAGACTATAGACTAGAATATAGACTAGATTATAGACTAGACTATAGAATAGACTATAGAATAGACTATAGAATAGACTATAGACTAGATTATAGACTAGACTATAGACTAGACTATAGACTAGACTATAGACTAGACTATAGACTTGACTATAGACTAGACTATATACTAGGCTATAGACTAGACTATATACTAGACTATAGACTAGACTATAGACTAGACTATAGACTAGACTATAGACTAGACTTTAGACTAGACTATAGACTAAACTATAGACTAGACTATAGACTAGGCTATAGTCTAGTCTATAGTCTAGTCTAGTCTTATAGTCTAGTCTATAGTCTAGTATGTACTCTAGTCTAGTCTTATAGTCTAGACTATAGACTAGGCCATACTAGATAATAGGCTAGACTATAGACCTTTACCAATGCCTCAGATGGAAATCGAACTAAACACCATCGGTCTATCTGACTAGAACACTAAGCACTAACCTAACAGAGGCAACCGAAAAGTGAAATAAGTAACTAAGTACTGAAATTTCCATGCCTGATTTATATTATGTATTTTTTAATAAGTTTATTCTCTCGCTATCTTCTCACCTGCAATTTAATTAATTTTTTGCCGGTCGAATTCTTAAGGGTCTTATGGAATTGTGAAACTTTACTGCTATGTTGACTGGTAAGTGTTGGTACCGTGATATCTTTCAAATCACCATAATAATTGGATTTCTGTAAGAAAACATAAACAAACAAAAATGAAAAGAAAATCAACATCTATCTCAAGATGTATACTACAATACGATAAACGTACATAAGAGGAAATTATATATAAAGAAATTAAATTTGAAATAATAATAATACCAACTATAAAGGTGATTTGAAAATATATCAGAAGTAAACAAAACAAAACGGACACTCTGCCCCGAAATCATGTACATACATATATACAAAATATGTATGTAAACTTATAAATAACCACCCTTAGTTAGAAAACAAATAAAAGCCTTTAAATAACTAACCACCCTTAATTTTATCAAAACACATAATTGAGAAATTAAATTAAACGTAAAAATATTAAAAAAAAAAGAAGTACTTACATCACCACCCAAATCGGTGCCCATAGTTTCAACCAATTGATTATTATCAATGGGTGTCTCCTGCAAACGAGTCCACATTTTATGAGCGGCCGTACGTTTGGCAATTTTCTTGCTTTTACCCTTGCCAACTTCACGGAAATTCAGTATAGTACAAGCAATGGTAAAGAGGCGCTCATGCGGCAAACCAACTTCGGTTTCAGTTTCATAGTTTGGTGGGGGCCAGCGGCGAGACATGCACATTTCCTGCAGCCAGCCAATGGGATTGCCAACAATTTTATCGGCACCACTGTAAATACAAAATATAATTTTAATTACTTTTTAACAGAATGTATTATTTAACTTACTCTCCCCCACTACCGGCAGCATTAGCATTACCATCCATGCCAGCTGCTGCATTCGAGCCGGCCGGTGAAGTTTGTGGTTCCGGCAATTGTACCCCAGTTAATTTATCAATTAAAGCTCTTGCAGCTGAATGTTTAGCCTCTTTCTTAGAGCGACCAGCGCCCATAGCTGTAAATGGTACATCTTTATCGTTGAATGATACACGATAACGGAAGGTGGGTTCATGGATGGCCCCCTCGATTTGCACCAACTCATAACTTGGAGTTATGCCACGACGGCTAAGTAGTTCTTGCAGCAATGAAACGGGTGTTTTCATAGCGACACCATTTGCATCAGTCTGAAAAATAATGTAGGGTCTTAGTAATAACACTATGATGCTAATTATTTAATGTCATTCAATAGATATTTATTGCATGACTAAGAGTTGTTTCAATTTAACATGTGTGGGGTATAAAATGCAAATTTGTGTTTTGGAAAATTATTTTTTTAATAGATCAATATCATGTAGAAATTATATAAAATTTATTTAGCGTCAAATATGTATTTACAGATTAAATCTAATTCTAATGGCCTAGGGATATATTTTCGGATTTGCTGAAATATACATCCTCTTATCAACCTAAACTAAATCCAGTTCTAATATATAGCCCACTATATAGTCCGATCTGGTTTATAGTCTAGTCTATATTCTAGTCTATAGTCTAATATGGTGCACTTCATTGTCTAGTCTTTAGTCTAGTCTATAGTATAGTCTATAGTTTAGTCTATAGACTAGACTACTGTAGTCTATAGTCCAGTATGTACCCTAATCTAGTCTATAGTCTAGTCTGCAATCTAGTTTATAATCTAGTCTATAGTCAAGTCTGTAGTCTAATCTATCTTTCAGCAGACATTTTCATTTTTATCAACTTACCAACTTCAATGATTCCTCAATTGCCATTTTGCTAGTAGTAGCAATTAAATCATCAATTTTTTCCTTTTTGACTTTAGCCGGCCTTTGCAAAATCTTGGTGGGGGCAGCTGGCACCGCTCCACCCACTTGTCCCTGGCCATTTGGCATATTAACAGGAGGCATAGCAGCAACATTAGGTGGCATTTGGTCATATTGACGTCGTGGAGCATAGCCAGCCTGCTGCTGCATCATATCAGGATTTGGTGCAGAATCCATTATTTTTCAATTGTTCTTATTTTATAAATTGATACTTCCTGTTCAGTAACTACTATATGTGATATCTGCAGAAAGTTGTGAATAGAAAAAACAACATATGGATACATATAAAAATTAAAGCCCAGAAAAAATCAATAACGCTGACAGGGTAAATTACCCTTGACAAAAAAATTGATATTTCTTTTTCGTTTTTTTTTCTATAGAAATAAAGAAAATATTTTATAAATAATGTAATAAATATAATAAATTACCTTTAGCTGTTTGATTTGCACTGATTTTTATTTAAAAATAAATTGTAATTTTCACCAAATTTATCTTCAAATAAAGAGCAGCAAAACAGAGCCCTGCGCCGACAAATATTAACGGCGGCGGCGACTGACACTAAATATGTCGGCGGCGGCTTAAAATCAACTGTAAGCCAGCTAAGTTTTCAACTACGTTTAGTTTTAAATTTTCAACGATTTTAAATAAAAACGGAATCCGAGAGATCAGAAAGTGGGATTTTGGAAGCAAATATATTGCTTATAACAACAAAACAGAGCAAGCTCAAAAGTTGTGTGAGAAATTATGCAGGGATGAATAAAAAATTCTTAAAAATTAAAAACAAATCCTTTCTCCTAGTTTTACGAGGATCGGCCTATATTTGACCCTATCCTCCACATAAAACCTCTTGCAGAAAATCAGTTTCTAAAAAATTTTGCATTAAGAAAATGATGAATAACGTAAAAACAAAGATTTTATATATTTATTCAGTAATAAGAAAGCCAATTTGGGCAAAATAATATTACACAGTCCTGTCTGTTCTGTAAACCGAATACGAGTAAATTTCTCGTTTAAAAACGAATTCGCATAATTTTTCTCGTTTTAAAACTGAGTACACAAATCTAGTGGAAAGTAAATCGAATGTAATTTTATTGTAATAAATGAAATAATTATTTTTCTGTGTTTTTTAATACAATTGTAACTAAATATACATAAATGCTATGGGCATTTTAAACCACTGAACACCTTTTAAACTCTTTTTCATATAAAAGATGTGTTCCTTTACTTGTCATGTTTGCAGGTTTTTACCAGAAATTGTAAAAGAGAACAAAATTGAGAAATAATAATAGTTTCTATTTGCCAGAACTTGGTTGGTTTTAGCCAGAAAATTTTTTCCCGGCAAATAGAAAAAAAATTGTCAAATAAATTATTTGTTTAAAAAGTACATTGAAAACAAAAAATTTTGAAATTTTATATTTATTGAAAGAGAAATTTAGTTTTTTTCTGTTCCCGTACTTTTTACAAGTACGAAGAGAAAATTCATTAATTTACTTTAGCCAGGAAAGTTGTGGAACAAAGCTAAAATATGTTTATTTTTCGCTAACTTTGTAGAAAAGCAAAAAACGGTAACACTGTCCAACACTTTAAATGTTGCCAGATATTTTTATTATTTTTATGAAACCATGATAAAGGGAAGTTTTAATATGAAAATGTGGTAAAACGAAATGAGGGGTGTCCATATATGAAATTTTATTTTTGGGAGATTATTGACCGGTTTTTGTGTCGTTAAGTTGGATTTGTTTTATGTAGTTGATATCACAGTTTAATGTTGCGGAAAGCTCTTCCCTGTGGAAAAACTTCCGGTTGATTCAGCTGAATCTAAAATATTTGTAATCTTTGTTTTTTATTTTCGTTATTTTTTATTTTATCATAATAAAATAGGATTAATAATTACATATTTCATTGTTTATAGTATAAACATGTTAAATCAGATTGCAATACAATATAAATGACAATAACTAATATTATGTCGTTTTATCTCGGCGTTTGTGTGTAATCGTTAAATGAGGAAAATAAAGATACGTACGAGATATTTAAACATAAATGTAAACTTTTAATAATAAAAGGTCCTAGACCTCGACAAACGAACAGAGTGTTGTTGTAATTTAAAGGGGACGATAGAGAGGGAGTGTAGGAGGAATTTTTATAAATGTAGAGGAAATGTTTGGGTTACAATTTTATTTTTATACTTAATCATCACTAAGAAAATCATCATCTAAATTGACATCTGTTGTATCGATGTTATCATCCAAAGTTATGCCTTCGATCTCTAAGTCTAAATCGTCATCATCATCGTCGTCTTTCGCAGTGGCAGCAGGCACTGATATTGATGCTTTAGTGGTTGTGTTAGCTACAGATGCTGTAGCGGCAGCTGTACCCACATAATCGTCACTTTTCTTATAGTCTTGTACATCTACCTTAGAGTTACTCTCAAATATGCCTTTCTGTTGGGCCATTTGCATTTCTTCCAAGGGATTGCGATCAATATTGAGTGGTAATGAGGCAGCAGCATGAGCTGGCAATTGCTGGCGCTCTTTTTGCCTGAGGAATTCCTCAACTTGTAAAGCATCCCCCAAGCCGGGGAAGAGATTTTCATATTTTGCTGGATCAGCCAAAGACTGGCCGGCCTTCTCATTAAATTTAGCCAATTCTTCACGCCATAGTTCGACTACTCGTGACATTTGGCTGGGAATGTAGGTGCGTGCAAAGAAAGCTGCTTCGGGCAAGCGATTTGTTTCTATCAATATCTCCAAACAGCGTTCCACATCGGAACGTATAAATGCGGACAGAAATGCGATATTATGACGTCCTTGGGCGGAGCCATTATCTCCCAAAGATTTTAACATCTCAGCATCGCCAGAAGCTGTGGCCAATAGCAAAAGACCACTAAAGTCATTGGCCTTTTCCATGCATTCCTTCACTAAAGCCATATTATTTTTACGGGAAGCTACATCTGCCAGTTGTGACCATTTTTGTGGATTCTCGGCTTCTCTGGCTAACTTAACAGCGATATCGAGTTCACCAATTTGTAAGGCCAAATCAAATTTATGATCTGGATCGGTGGATACTTGTAAGGCTTGAGACTTGAAACCTTGTTTCTCCAAGAAATGAGCCACACGTGTACGATGCTCCTTTGGTATAGTGGGCAAAACTAAATCGGCCCTTTCAAAATCACGGCGCATAACAGCAGTTTGATATTCCAATACCGATAGTTGTAGAGAAAAGGAAATGACATTGAGTTCCTTGTCACCCATGTAAAGGCGATTATCTTTGGGTACATAGCCCAACAAATACATAGTGCGATCCAAATGAGAAATGGTAACAATTTCACCACCCACATAGTAGTTAATACGATTCACGGAATTGGTGTAAATGAAGCAATCACCCACCCATAGACCAGTTTTAACAATTTCATTGATTTCGCCTGTACATAAAGGAAATGCAATTTGTTATAGGAAGAATAATAAAATCAGTTTACTTAACTTACCTAATACATCAAAGGCACTTTCAATGCCATCATCTTCCAAATCTTGTTTAGTTTCTAATGCAATGGAAATGGCGCCGGTATCAACGGACAATATAAAGAAGGACTCTTCAGTAGCAAGACACACCAATGTACCAGATTCATTCCAAAATACATGACGTGGTTGTACTTCAATGCGTCTTACTAAAGTCAGAGTTTCCCAATCATAAAAGGCTAAACCCGATGATGTTTTCACACCAAACAAATAGCCGCCGTAAATACTCTCTGCGCCATATTCGGGGGTAAAACTTTTACGTTCTTTAAAGTTACGGAATAAGCGCACAGTGCCATTAGTTTCACGTATGGCATATTCATTACTTTCCAAAGCCCATACGAATTCCTGGGCCGAACCAAATGCTTTATTACGCAAAGCCATGGAAGTGTAAATAATGTATTCGCCATCACCACAAACCACCACAAAACGACCATTGGGATTGTGGGCAATAGTTTGAGGATAAATTTCACATGCTCCCATATCTTTAACAGCTACTGGCAAACGTTCACCATCTTTGATTTCTGTGCCATCTGCCAAAGTTTTTAAATTGACCTGAAGAGTAAAAAATATTAAATTTTCAAAACTTTTACTTAGCAATTAACTATTTACCTGTTGCATTTCCGAATGTTTGGCCCATATAATTTTACTGCCAATAACATCCATAGACATGGCTGGTTCTTCCCGGCCTACTTTAATAATAATGGAACCTTCATCATAACCCAAGGCAACATTATTAGTACCACGCATACAAGCAATTGTCCAAACACGTTCGTACCCATAATTCAAAGAGATTTCCAAACGATAGGTACCCGAATGCCAAATACGCACAGTACCATCTTCTGAACCGGTCAATACTATTGGTAATTCTGGATGGAAACAAACTGCTGATATATTTTGTGCATGACCCTCCAATGTCTGTACACAAGTTTTATTTTGATAATCCCAAATTTTAACCAAACGATCATCAGCACCCGAAATCAAATAGGGTTTATCACCACCATGATAATAATCCACACAGTTGACACCCTTTTCATGACCTTCTAGAGTAAAGTTGGCAAAATTCGAACCCAATTGCCAAACTTTAACGGTGCGATCCAATGAGGCCGAAGCAAATGTATTATTGTCTTTGGGATTGAATACAATTTGCATAACATAATGTGTATGACCTTCGAATACACGCTGGCAAGCCCACATTTTCTCCCAATTCCAAAGCTTAATAAGCATGTCATCTGTAGGAAGAGATACAACAATATAATTATGAACACTATTATGCAAGAAGTTTTATGTTAGGGACATTTTTTTTATTTTTTGATATGGAACAAATAAGGATTTATATCGAGTTATATTCAATAATTATCTGGGTCAAAGTTTATTCACATTCCTAAAGTAATTGCGGTAATTACTTGACTTCAGTCAAGAACATAGATAAGACTATAAACTGGTCTATAGACTAGATTGTACTGTCGACTAAACTAGACACCACTATGAACTAGACTACAAACTAGACAATATACTAGACTATAGACTAGGCTATAGGCGAGTGAATTGACTATACTAAAGACTATACTATAGTTTATCGAATAGACTATAGTCTAGAATAGACTAGACTATAGACTGTAGATTACACTATAGACTAGACTATACACCAGACTATATACTCGATTTTTGACTAGACTAGACTGTAGATTACACTATAGACTAGACTATATACCAGACTATATACTAGATTTTTGACTGGACTACAGATTCGACTATAGACTACACTAGACTATAGACGAAACTATACACTAGACTGTAGACTAGACTATAGTTTAAACTATAGTTAAGACAATCAACTAGACTTTACACTAGAACACAGAATAGAACACAAACTAGACTATAGACTTGATTATAGGTTCTGTAGACTATACTATATTGAACACTATAGACTTGACTAAACTATATATAGTCTTCCGTACAAAAAAATGCTTATACCGAATGAATCCAAAAACAAATTTGTACTATTCAGATTTCAAACTAAGTTACTACCTACTAAAGTTAAAAAATATAAATAACACGAACAATTAGTTACCCTGTTACCGAACTATCCTATTCTTTTTGAAATATAATCGCTAAATTTTATAAAAAGACATCATACAAAAAAGTACTTTTTGAGTATGATGATTTTGTATTGAAAATTAAATTTTAATTCACACAAATACAAAATTATTTATCGATAACAAAAGCATCATGAATGCATCAAAAAATGATGGTGTGGTGAAATTATCAAGATATATCATGAAAAATAAAAAAACAACAATAATTAAAAACACATAATAATTGTGTATAAATTTATCAATAAACTGATCATAATTATTTTATCTAACGCATTTTTATCTTTCTTCTGGTCGCCTGATGAAATCTCAACTACTAATGCAATAATAAGAACATTAAATTAAAATTTGTATGTTTCAAATAAAAAAAAAAAAAACAAATTCTAGCAACAACAAACAATATCACGTCTGTCCAGATTTCTACAATTATTTTTCAAATTCTCTATTCTTTATTTTGTTTATCTTCTCTATTTTCTTACTCACCGCTACTAGTCAATATCAGTGGCTGAGTTGGGTGTACGGCAATACAACGTATGTAATCTGAATGAGCCTCAAATGAATGAACTTTTTCCAATGTATTATAGTTGAAAATGCGAATTTGCATATCATCGGAACCAGTGATTAGCCAATTTTTACGTGCCACAAAACGTCCCGAACGTACAGGAACATCACAAACCTCGAAATCTTTTACCAATTGCTGGTTCTCAAAATTCATGATGTGTACGTGGCCATTGTAAAGGGCACACAACATCCACGGTTCGGTTGGATGTATGTCAACACATTTGACTCGATCCGAACGTGATGTTAAACGGCGTTTAATATCTAATTTCAATGGCATTTTGTTGTTTTTTATTATCCTTTATTAATACACTATAAATTACAATAGATTTTCTTAAAAATATTTGCACTTTTTTCACAAATAATTAAACTTCAATCGGGGAAAAAAATTCTTATTTCACTTGTTCATATCACACAAAAATGGTTGAACGTCATCGAAATGTCAAATGTTGGTGAGTATTGTTGTTTTTTTCTCTTGTATTTTGTCAGATAAGATTAAAGTTGCCAGATAGATTTTATTTTGGTAAGGGTGGTAACGTTAAAAAAGTTTGATTTTAACGGTAACGTTTTCTTTAAATGTTTATTAAAATATAAATTTTAAACCATCTTGTATTAACGTATCGTGTGTTTTTTTGTATTAGCTTACATTATTGTAAAGTTGTTGTTTGTAGTTTGATTAAAAAATCTCGTATAACATTGCGTTTATTTAAATTGTAACAATGTGAAGCTATTATTCTCATGTGGATGCCCAATTATTAGAGAAGAAGAATAATTTCATAAAGTAAACATATAAAACGGTGCTTTTAAGTCAAAGAAAATTAAAAAATATATATTAGAGTTATAATTAATTTAGTTTTTCAATTTACTAGTATTTTGATAAATATTCTTCTTTTTAACTACATGTTTTTTTCATATAAAATCATAATTGTCTAATTACAATGATTGGTGGTTTGTTTCCGGCCGGAAGAATTTCTATTGTTAATTGTGTTTATAAAGATTATGCCCATAGTGCAATAAGTTTTTATTATTGCCATTAATTTGTGTACGTCTGTAAAATTTTAAATTTACAGAGATTTGTCTGTTTGGACTTACATACTTAAATCGACAGACATAACTTTAAATCTATAATTAAGAGACTGACAAGTGTCCGGCTTCAAAAGTAAACTACAATCAAGACTATAATATAGATTACAAAGCGTGACTTCTGGTAAGTTGACCTCTTCTTATTTTTAAATAATCCCTTTATATATCTATAAACTTCACTTTATTGTCTATCTATAAAGTGAACTATAGTCTAAACTATATAATATTAAAGATTATTATCTAGACACTCCAAAATATTGACTTGACTATAGTCGAGACCACAGACTAGACAATAGACCTCTTAGTCCTCTTTTGCACAGTATCGTATATGAAAATTGTATCTGTTAAATAACTATAAATACCTACTATTTATGAATAATTAAGATAACAATGTAGTTTATCTATCTAGAGGCTTTTGTTATCTTTAAAAAACGAAACATTAATTTCTATAAAATGTCTATACAAAAAACAAACAGAATTTTACTTGTTAATGCAATGTTTATATGTATGTTTTGAAAAATGTATTGTGAAATTTATTAAGTAGCGTAATATTATCGTGTATTTATTGAAAAATTAAGTGTTTTGAACACTTTTCTTTTAAAGAAAAAACCAAAAATATCACTGACAGCTTTTAACTGCGATTATGACGATTGCCATCACCACGTCTAACCACATCCTTATACTCATCCATACGCCGCATACGTGCAATATATTCGGGATCATCATTTTCAATTTGTTCCTCGAGAGCAGCTTTTTCTTCTTCCTCTTGAATTTCTGGATCTTGAGCAGCAGCTATGGCTTTTTCTTTATTAATTTGGGCCATTTTTTCGGCATCGGGGAAAATACCCTGATCAACACGCTGTTGATAAAACTCATCGACAGTCATAATGGGCAAACTGGGATAGCCGAGACCAAAGACAGCCTTTTGTGTAGCATCTTTAGTGATAATGAAGGGTTGCATAGGTTTAGGTTTTGGCGGCATATGCATGTGACGTGGTGGGCCATGTGAATGAGAATGGCCATGTCCATGACTATGACCATGAGCGTGGTCATGATCAGGCATATGAGCATGATCCTTAAAGGGATTAGGTCCAATAACCGAACCGGGTGGCAAAACAATATCATCCATTTTTGTGGTGCCAAATTCGGCCAAACGTTGTTTTCTCATTTCCACTACTCCTCTTTCCAACTTGACGTTCTGCATTTCTTCATTGGCATCTATAATACTTCTATTAATGTATTTCATAAAGAAATCCCTTTTGACTTCATCGTCCACATTATTGCTTTTAACGGCTAATTTCATTTGTTTTATTTGAGCATCTAGTTCTTTTTTACGTTTAAATTGTGCGATTTTATTATTACGTGCCACCGCAGAGGCCACTAGTTGTTCCTGGGTGTCTATGCAACCACTAACTTGTTTGTCAGACTTATCGTCATCATTAGATTTGGGAGCCTCACAAAGTTGATATTCATGACAACGTTGTAGAAAGTCTCTGGAAGATAAAAACCAAAAAAAAAAAAAAAATTAATTTATTTGGATTCTTGCCCCCTTAAGAAGTTGTAGAACAAATGTACACACACCTAAAATAAATTTCTGCAATACGCAAAGCATCTGCACGATCCTGTTCATTACGTTGCACAGCTAATTTGCCCAAAAAATATGGTAACAGTAAATACTGCAATGATTCTGTGGGCACTTCATCAATTATTTCATTGGAGCTAAACATTCCAATTTGACTGACCATCGTAGTGGCCAATTCGAATTGTTGCATGCCCAATTTTACCTTGGACTGAAATGAAAATAATTTAAACAATAACTCCAACTAGAAAGTTAAATTTTCTACCTGAAATTCAGTACCATTGGTATCAATAGTAGTTTCATCGAGAAATTCAAAGATTTCCCAACCTTCTAGAAAAATATCTTCTAATTTGCGATTATCTGTGCTATTGTCGGCACTCATTTTTAAGGAAAATTTTGTATATATACTTTTATTGCTCGATTTATACGGTAATAATGCTTTTTTATCGGTATTTTCCAGTCGTTTAGTAAAAAATCTGGATACAATGTTTATTGAATGACTGATCAGCTGGATTTAATAGATTTCGTATATAATTGCATCAGTTTTTCATGTCCCATTCACAATAGGTTGTTTATATTATTGTTAGTACTAAAAACGTACTAAATTTTTTGTAGAATGGCCGTATTTTTTGGTTAGTTCAAATTAGGGTTCTTAGGGTTCTATAAATCGACTTTCGAATAATCGAACAATCGACTTTTTGTCGAAAAAAGTCGAAAAGTCGAAGTCGACTATTTTGTTCCAAAAAAGTCGATAACTCGACTATCGTCTATGAAAAAAGTCGAAAAGTCGACTTTGTAAATAAAAGTCGAAAAAAGTCGAAAAGTCGAAAAGTCGGAAAGTCGAAAAAAGTCGAAAATTCGAAAAGTCGAAAAAAGTCGAAAAAAGTCGATAAGTCGAAAAAAGTCGAAGAAAGTCGAAGAAAGTCGAAAAAAGTCGAAAAGTCGAAAAAAGTCGAAAAGTCGGAAAAAGTCGAAAAGTCGGAAAAAGTCGAAAAGTCGAAAAAAGTCGAAAAGTCGAAAATAGTCGAATATTTTAAAAAAGTGGAAAAGAGGTCAAAAACTCTAAAATAGTCGGAAAAACTCGAAAAAAGTAAAAAATAGTCGAAAAAAGTCGAAAAAAAGTCGAAAATAGTCAAAAAGTCGTAAAAAATCGAAAAGTCGGAAAAAGTCGAAAAGTTGAAAAAAGTCGGAAAAAGTCGAAAAAAGTCGAAAAGTCGAAAAAAGTCGAAAAGCCGAAAAAAGTTGAAAAGTCGAAAAAAGTCGAAAAGTCGAAAATAGTCGAATATTTTAAAAAAGTGGAAAAGAGGTCAAAAACTCTAAAATAGTCGGAAAAACTCGAAAAAAGTAAAAAATAGTCGAAAAAAGTCGAAAATAGTCAAAAAGTCGTAAAAAATCGAAAAGTCGCAAAAAGTCGAAAAGTTGAAAAAAGTCGGAAAAAGTCGAAAAGTCGAAAAAAGTCGAAAAGTCGAAAAAAGTCGAAAAAAGTCGAAAAGTCGAAAAAAGTCGAAAAGTCGACCATTTATAAAATACTAAAAGTCGAAAAGTCTAAAAGTCGACTTTTAAATAAATGAAAAAGGTCGAAAAGTCGAAAAATCGACTTTTCATAAAATGGAAAAAGTCGAAAGGTCGAAAAGTCGACTTTTAACTAAATGCAACTCGACTTTTCGACTTTTTGCATTTTATGAAAAGTCGATTTTTCGACTTTCTTCATTTAAATAAAAGTCGACTTTTAGACTTTTCGACTATAAGTATTTTATAAATAGTCGACTTTTCGACTTTTTCCGACTTTTTCCGACTTTTCGACTTTTTCCGACTTTTTTCGACTTTTCGATTTTTTCGACTTTTTGACTATTTTCGACTTCTTTCTACTTTTTTCCGACTATTTTTTGACTTTTTTCGAGTTTTTCCGACTATTTTAGAGTTTTTGACTTTTTTTCCACTTTTTTAATATTTTTGACTTGTTTCTACAATTTTCGACTTTTTCCGACTTTTTTCGACTTCGACTTTTTTCGACAAAAAGTCTATTGTTCGATTATTCGAAAGTCGATTTATAGAACCCTAGTTCAAATATGTTTGCACTGCCAGATTGTGAATTTTGAAATACCGGTAAAATTTATTTATTATAGATTAGATTATGCTATAAAATGAGCAATAACAATATGACTTACATCAACTCATCAACTCCAAGTTAACCTCATATTAAAACAATTTTTGTACAATAGACTATTTGTCGATTGTTTTGTTCATAACATGTTGGTAAAAAGTCAAAAAACACTCAATAAGTTGAAAAATACGCGGAATGTTATAAAAAAATAAATTAAAACAATCGATTTTTAGTCGACTATTTACAAATACATATTTTAAAAGCAAGCTTTTTGTTCATTTGTAAACCTGTAAAAATAAGTAAAATAGTCGAAAATTTCAAAATTGTGTAAAGTTTAAAAATCCACCTTTCATAAATTGAAACAAGTAGATTTTTTTTATTCAAGTATAGAACCCTACAATATAGTTTTATAATACCGTTATTTCGTAATTCATTTCCATCTCGTTATACATACAATTTATTTAGTATGGTAACTTTATAGCTTGCGGAACTATTGTGAATAGTTAGTTTTGACATATAAACAAACAAATTTCTAGAAAACTGCCGAAAAAAAGATTTTGACACGGTCTGACAAAAACTTAAAAAGTTGAAAAGAAATATTTATTTATATTAAAATAAAAGTGAAAAAATGGCTGACTACGATTCGGATGATGAAAAATCTCAGTTAGATAAATTGCGTTATGCCAAAGTTCCAC